AGGGCCCAGGAGTTTGACGCAGGAGTGCTGTCAGCAGAGGACTGAGTTCTCAAGAAGCCACCAAACTCGGAATGTAGGGACAATGCGAGTTGCAGATGCTTCTGGTTAGGACTAGGACTCGATAGGACCCTGAAACACGGGGGCCCCGAATATGCATCAAAAGTCGCCATAACAGGTTCTGGCTGTTGCATGCTGTTGCTATGGGGGGAAGTTGGAAGAACTTCAGACCTGTAGCTTCCGCCAACTTGGAAGCAACCGTTTCGGTGTTGCCGGTCTGCGTTGCATAGAAGATTCCCACAGCAGCGCGTGCCGTGCAGGCATTCCTCAACTCGGCCCGGGGGCATGTTGAAAGTCGCTTCTTTCAACACACTGAAGCTTGTCTAGACTAGCCTAAATCTTCAAATCCTAGAAACTAAACTCCAACCAAACTGTCTTCCAGATCCGCCCCAGCTTCTGCCTACCAAAGGCCTGCAGTTTCTGCTGCAGAGCACTCTGGAAGGAGACCTTTGGCCCTCGAGTTCCTGCGAAGGAAGGTGCCGACCACCGCAGCAGGGCGAGGGCTGCAACGAGCGAGAGCAAAGCGACACGCGGGGCTCTGGCCATGCTAGGAACAAAGTGAAGGGAAGCAGCGGATATGAAGTCTACCACCTGGTGCCCAAAACTGCGCAGGTGCCCTCAAGACCCACGAGTAACCTAGGAATAAGAAGGGTGCACCTTTTGTGGTTAAATGTGGTGATAAGAGAACCTAAGCCCCCCAAAAAGGAAAGATGGGCCTACCCTAGGTCCTAGCCCTGCTAAGGCAAGCACATTCTCAGATCTGCTTTAGGCCTCGATTCAAGCTCACGGATAGTTCTGAACCCCCAAGAACCCCGAAGGGTGCATAAGCCCAAATAGCGTATACTTGGGTCGAAGATAAATATGTACGGACTACATTGACTACATGTAGGCCGATGTATAGACTTGTTGGGTACATGCACCCTCAGGGTACGGCAGAAAACGTTGGCACTTTTCGGATGCACACAGAGTGTCCATATGTACTACTATTATGGAATAAAGCCCCTGACGACCATCCTAATCATTGGTTTGGGGGTATAATTCCATAATAGTAACCAGTAACATTATGAGTAAATATTGACCCTCTTGGTGACTGCTGGTTTAGAGCGACAGGCTTCTTGTCTTGAACCTTGAAGGTTGTTGGGACATGCGAACTTGGGCGGGGAGGTTACTGGAAACCGAAACTCCTAAACCAACAACCCGAAACCCTCATACAGCTCTAAACAACCAAAACACTGACGTGAGCTCCTAGATACCTGGTATCGGGACAGTGGGTTTAGCATGTGAGTGTCCAGGGCTGGCAGTCTTCCGAAGCAAATTTTTACCGAAACCCTAACCCGAAAACCTACCCTGAAGCCTACAAACCCCAAACCCCGAAACCCTAAACTAGATAACCCTTATCCCAGAAATATCTGTGAAGTGGAGGCTTCGCGGCTTTGGGTACTGCTACTTCAAGCTCATATGCGTTGGGCTCCATCAGGGATCAACGGTTTGAGATACATACACGAGCCTTAATAGTTAGAATAAAGTATTCGAGTATATCATATAGGATTGACGAGCTATGCCAGGGAGAGAATACTGTTGTAAGTATTTGTTCAGACTCTGGTATATTGGTACATCCGGGCATGATGGGCTCAATCGCTTACGCTGCAGGGTTGACTCAGGGGTTTAAGCTCAGTCAGGGCTCAGGGCACAAGGTTTAGCGAAGGCTTCTTCTATTTTTGCAAGCAGGTCCAACATGAACACGGGCTCATCCTTCATATTGAGTATGTATGCCGGTACCTATGTTGCAAGTTGTCACCAACATAACACAACAGCCCTAAATGGTACGACTCTCATCTTCTGCAACCTTTATATTCTGTGGACGGCGGCCTTCATAGAGGCTGAAAGCACCTTCGTAGGCACCTGCGGATGAAGGTGAACTCCATGGAGTTGTACGGCTTCGGGCTTCATAAAGGAGCCTTAAGGATCAGACCTCTGGGGTTTGGGGCCCAGTATATACTAGTATAACTGGTTTAAAGGTTTAGGGTTTAGGGCTTAGGGTAATTATAACTATAATAAGGAACTCACTCAAAACATAGTATAGGTAATTCTTTGAGCCCCTATATCATTGTCATAGTACCCTTATCGGAGCCATTGTAGAACCCCGTTCAAGGAACCCTAGTATAGGGGTAATTGTTTAGATCCCTATAGTAGCTGTAGTCCAAAAAGACCTTCCGAAACCTTATTCTCTGGGTTTCCTTGACACAATGTCTTCAATGCTCTGTCAAAATGGTATCCGAAGGGTCCAAAATACCTATATAGCAGAATGTAGCGCTTCTATATTATATTCGGAATTACTACGATGATTTGGGGAATTTTTCCCCCATAACAAGACCAGGGACCTTTTGGGGTATGCTATATACAGGTCGGGCTTCAGGATCCTTGAGGGTCCATGTACTCATATATGCATTGGCCTCAAAGTGGTCCCTAAAACGGTACCTTGGGGCCAAAGTACATACTATTGGGTTACATGGACCCTTAGGGGTATACAAGTCGGGGGTTGAGGATGCCTGCACTTTCTTGCGTCTCAGCAAGTCTCTTGCTGGTTCCTGAGTAACCACGTGCCCTTTTTCCTACTATTTGGGTTTGGCTAAGGATGCTACGGGGACCCAAGAGAAAATGCAAAAGGGTACTGCTGAGGAACCTAGTGCTTCCTGCTAGCCTTCGACCCGAAACCCTACACCGGGCATAGATTGAGTTCCCAAGAGCCCTCGACGCAAAGCTGAATCAACTTAAAGAGCTACCCAGAGAGCTCAATACCCCTTAAGTAAGGAGTATACCTTATAATCTTCAAGCCCCCTGGAGTTCAAAGGCATATTCCTTAATCAAGGGGGTATTGGGCTCTCCGGGCAAAAGGAACTTAGGAACATCAAAAGACTGCCCCAACCGGCCCCAACCCCGAACCCCTAAACCCTAAACTCTCAAACCCTAAAACCCCCTTAGAAGCCATAATATAGGGGCCTCCATAAGTACCTACACTACATTGGGGGTTCTTAACTATAATTACAGTGTATTGGGCCCCAAAACTAAACCCTAAACCCTAAACCCTAAAACCCTATAAACCCTAAACCCTAAAAACCCTGAACCGGGGCGCTCTTGCCCATCGGCCATGGCTTCGTCAGATCCTTCGCATGAGCGCGGCTGTGACCGATGTCCGCCTGGGCTTTCAACCCTAAACCCTGAAACCCTAGACCCTAAACCCTTAAAACCCTAAACCCAGGAAATGTGTTGTTCCCAAGGGTCTCTTGATTCAAGCATGCGAAAGTATGCCCTAAACCCTTCACCCTAAACCCAGTTCGAGCTCTTGAAGCTCTGGCTTCAAAGGTTGGGGTTCTGCCTAGCTGCTAGCCCCCAACCACTCTCTATTTCTACTCAGGGCCACAAGGGCTCTAGTAAAGGGCACTTGGGGGGGTTCCAAGTGAATTTCTTTTGATTTTTTGGGGGTTTAAGGTCTTTGGGCGGGGCGTAGCCAGGTTGTACAAGTAGATGGGGCTGGAGGTTCGATCTCCCGGCTGACAGAGACAAGGCTTTGAGAAGCTTCGGCCTGGAGCCCAGAGCATCTTTGGTCTTCTTTTAGCCTATATGCCTATGTTTTTTTTTAACACTATAGAGCCCAAGCAACGCTTTCAGAAGGAAGGGCGGGCTTTGATTTGGATTTTTGATGCTTCTATAGGCCTCGAGCCTCGTCACACCCTGGATCAAAGCCCCAAACCTCCACGCCCAGCGAAAACGCAACCTCCCACTCGTGCCCAATAAGCCAGAAAAGCCTGTAGAAGTTGTTGGTTTGCCTAAAGGCATAAGAAATGCTCGGCGATGGTTCCCTCATTTTGGGATAGCCAGCTTTCTATGTGTAGGACATTTTAGGATCCTCAGCGTACCCGAAAAAGGAACTACACCGGCGAGACTCGAGGCAGCCTCTACTGGTTCTGATAAAGTCATAGGGACCCTTAGGGGGGGTAGGGGGAGGGGGGTAGGGGGCCTTAATGCGCATAATAAGGACCCTAGAAGGCCTAAGGAAGCATAGTCCCCTACCCCCCTACCCTCCTACCCCCTGCCCCCCTGAGGGTATCTATGATAGAAAAGTGCCCCAAACTCCAATGCCAAAGGGCCATGAAGAGCAAATTCAAAATCTCCTTGGTCTCCTTCGACTCATCTGCAGCCAAGGCAGTTCCCAGGAAAAGGCCCGCGCAGATGCGGCGGAATGAAGACATGGCGGGTTTTAGGAGTCTCGCTGGCTCCAAAACCCCAAGCAACGCGAAGACTGCGTTCTTGCTTAGCAAGAACGGAAGCAGCTTGGGCCGATAGTAGCTGTTCGCACGAGCCCTGGATCCTTGTCGAACCCCAAGCAACACGTCGATAGCATCCCGAAACCAACAACAGAGCTTTGTAAACCAGTGACCGGAAACATAATAAGAACACACATCCCTCAGGCAAGATGGACGTACCTACGAACGCTCACACCCCGGAGTCGACACTACTCTTGACGCCCTCCAGGAAATTGGCACAGACGACTCGCATTAATCTCGGAACGAAGCAGTATCACAGATGTGTTCCGGCGGTATATGCGCGTGAAAGGCGGACACCCGGCATCCTATACTCAAGCCTTGGCGGTTGCTGATTTGATGTTCTCGTTCTCTCATCAAGAAAGGGCTTAGGACAGATTGGAATCGTCTTGCGGTTTCCCAGTCGTGGGAAAGAGCCTCGGGACTGACCAACAAGGACAGGTTCAGAGATTTTGCAGTGGTCCTCACATGGCCAGCAATCTGAACTGCACCTACAGAAGGAGACATAGCTATGTTAAACCGATACCGATGACCAGAACCTTAAACCTAAATTCCTCAGCATTAAACCATGCTGTAAACGGGTCCCTTTGCACGTCTCTTCGGCTTCTTTCGCCCGCGATGTCACCATCCGTGGCAGATCTTCCAGGTGGCTACTACCGACGTCCTGTCTTCGGCCAGGACATGGATCCTGAGCAAATCGTGCGAGTTTGGCGCTTTCTTGGCGCAAACACAAGGAAAACTATGTATAGAAACCACGCTAAACAGGTAGGGCTGTCTGGCTACAGACAGGACTTCGTTGGTTCAGGGATCAGGATTTGGTTAAAGATTGCCCCGAGCACAAACCAATTTGCCTGCTCGGTGCTTGCGCTGCATCGGCTGTGCATTCGCCAGCTAACGCTGTAGGGTTTAGGGTTTATAGTTTAGAGGAGGGAATTTCAAGTCAAGAAACATTGTTGCAAAGGCGCGTAACACTCGGATAGCACATCTAATGGAATAACTTAAGGGATGGTGTTGGTGATTGTTCAAGCTTCTACATGTTATTCAACATTATTCGAGTTCGACAGATTGGCAGTTTGGGAAGCAAGTTTTGGGAAGCAGCCCGAAACCCCAAACCCTCACATAAACACGGAGCCCTTAGCTGAATCATTCTGGAACTCCCTACCCAGAGGGTGCACATATACTACTATTATGGAATCTTTTAGGCCCCCTGAAGACCATACTAATCATGGTTTGGGGGACCGAACTCCATTGTAGTAGTACATCTCGGTTTTTGAACTCCCTAACGGAACACCAAAACATCCCGAGGCCCCATCTCAACATAGAACCCCTTGCAGAATCAATATAGAACCCCTTATAGCATTAACCCAATTACATACTGTAGGGGCCTTAACGTTTAGAATAATTAGTGTTTTAGTGCACATTGTGCTGAGTATGCCCCGAACGTGCGGTTCATGATATACATCCTGCATTACACAGAATGAGGAATATACCATAATTCACATAGTTTAGGATCCTTAAGGTAATGGTGGATTTATATCATCAGCCGTATAGTATTGGTAATTACTCAGCCTCCTCAACCAGTGCGATGTCCAACCCTAAACCCTATAAACCTCAAACCCTAAACCAAGGTGCCGGTCGTGCTGCTTGGTGTGGGCGCAGGAGTGAAAGGGCTCCAATCTGAGGATCGTGCCGAGCGGATACCTGCCGTTTTAGGGCACCTAAGGACCTTTGGGTTCCTTTAAAGGGCTACGATAAGGGGTTCCTCAAAGGGCTCCAGAAGGTTTAGAATCAGGCTGAGGGATTTGGGGTTTAGGATTTGGGATTTAGGATGGCTTAGGGTTTATTGGGATTTGGGTTTAAAGATGGCCTAGTACTGGCACCCCTAGCGGCACCCTCCCGCCACGCGCCGTCCGCGCCACTGGCACCGAGACCGTCCCTGACACCCTTTAGGATCCAAGGTTGTGGAGTTTGGAGTGCAGACAAGGCACCAAATCCCTCCTTGACTCGTCCTAGACTCGAGCGCAAGTACATGCATAATAAGCCGTTATACTGTGGCCCACATGCAGGGCCCACAGACAGTGACCTACTGTCGATGATATGAATCCTGCATTACCCATAATAAGGAATATACCAAAATTCCCATAGCTTAGGGTCCTTAAGGTAATGCAGGATTTATATCATCCACCGCACTTACCGGGCTTCTATGGCAACACTCAAAACCGGGAGGCGCTCTTTAAGTAAGGCGCCTCTTCAGGTCTTTACTCGAAAGAGCAGGCAACTCTGCCCAGAGATCCCAATACCCCTGAATTAAGGAATATACCTTAAATTATAATAAGATCCCTAATATGATTTTATAATTAAGGGATATTTGGGTTCTCTGGGTGTTGGGTGTCCAAGACTATCATTGAGTCCCTTGACCCGAAATCAAACTAGTACGATCATACTGCTAAAAATGACTTGACCTGAATCTATGGTCTATATGAAAAATCTCTCAGGAGCACCAAGACAAAGCACCCTAGACCCGTCAGCATTCAAAATATCCCGAAAGCCCACAAACCCTAAACCCGCAATCCCCGAACACTAAGCTATAAGTTAATACATAAGCCTTGACCCCTCAAACCCTGAAGCCTGAACCCCAACCCTAAACTCTAAACCTCAAGGCCTAAACCCCAAACCCCAAAACTCTAGACTCCAGACCCTTAACTCTAAACTCTAAACTCTAGACTCCAGACCCTTAACTCTAAACCCTAAACTCTAAACCCCAAACCCTAAACTCTAAACCCTAAAACTCTAAACCCAAAAACTCTAGACTCTAGACTCTACCCAAACCCTTGCTCTGCTCTCTGGGCCCAAGCTGCTTGGCGAAATCCAGGGGCTTCCCATCACTCGAGGAGACCAGCCCTGCCTCGAAATGCACGAGTCTCAACGGGTCCTAAGTACCTTCTTTGCGGGACTTGAAGCTGGGGTTGGGTTGGGGATTTAGGGGTTTAGGGGGTTAGGGGTTTCGGGTTTAGGGGTTTAGGGGTTTCGGGTGGGGAGGGTGTAGGGTTTAGGGGGTTAAGGTTTAGGGAAGGGGTGTCGGGTGGGGTTTAGGGTTTCAGTCCGGAGTCTGAAACAGTTTTAGGGCTCCTTAAAAGGAAAACCTACGGGTCCCAAGTACGTACATAGTAGGTCGTAGGGTTTCTAAGTACGAGTTACTATGATGGATAGGGTAAGTTTGGGAGTTTAGGGCTTAGCATCTAGAGAGTAGGGGCTTTAGAGTTGCATTTGGGATGTAGGGGTTGGGTGTTTTTGGGTGTAGGTGCTTTGGACACGTCCAAAGTAGCGGATAGATAGGCATCGTCGACGGCATCGTGTGATGCAGGTTGGTACTTGGGGACAAAGTTCAGGGCTTTGTGGGGGGCCTTAGGGCCAAGGATCTTGACGTCCCGCTGTGATGTTGTAGCTTTCCTGCTGCCCAAACTGAAAGCCAGCGTTCGAACGCCACAATCTGCTGCTCTTTCGACCGTTGGAAGGTGGTAGGGTTGAGGGTGTTTAGTGCCTAGGCTGTAAAGTAAAAGCCAGAAAGTTGGAATATGATTATCCTAAACCCTTTATGGTAAATTATAAGGTATCCTACCCTGAAACCACATTCCAACTTTCTGGAGTTTCCTGTAACATGTGGGGCAGCATTGGAATTGTGAAGTCTCTGGGTCTGAAAACTCGCAAGTCAGTGACCCCTCTTCAAAACTTGAAGGCGCTTTAAAAGCCCCTGGATCCAGCCACGGTTTAGGGTTCAGGGAACTTTAAACAAGCAGGATGTCCTCTATCAGGTTAGAAGAAGCTTTAGGACTTTAGGAGCTACGACTCAAAGAGCTCGGGGCGGCACAGAAAGAAGGAAACTACTTTCCGCTGCTGCTGTACACTGCCAACCTTTCAGTTCTGCTGCATGCTGAAACAGAAGTAAAGACCAAGAAGCCTGAAACCCTGGACCCGAACACATCCTGGACCCTGCGAGCCCTGAACCCCCCAAGCCCTCTGAAACCTAAACCCAACCTCTGACAAAAAAAGCTAACACAAAACACAAACTAGACCACTAATTAAACCCTAAACCCTAAACCCTAAAGCCTAATCCCTAAACCCTAATCCCTAAACCCTAAAGCCTAAACCCCAAACCTACCCCCCCCCTCAACTCCAAAACCGCGGCTTCGAAAGCTCGGCCCCCGGCCTCCTGTTTCAAGTCCACCACCTCGCAGAGCTTTTTAGAGTGCCCCCTCAAAGGGTATCTATTAGAAGCTGTCCCCACCCTGTAATAGTGACTAGAAGGATTATATAAGGGCCATATTACATTCCTATTATACCACTATTACAGGGTGGGGGCCCCTTAGAAGGGATCTATATCTGGCTTTAGGTTGGTTTAGAGTTTAGGGTTTAGGATTTGGGGTTTAGTGTTTAGGGTTGAGGGGATCGGTATCTGGCTTTAGGGTTTAGGTTTCCTGTCCCAGAGGGTCCATATACAGTACTATTCTGGAGTTAGGGTCCCTCGTTTAGGGCCTAATTCCAGAATAGTAGTGTGCATGCACCCTCTGGGTTTCAAAGGAGATCCAAAGGGATCCAAGAGATGGCGATTCTTTCGGAGGGTGTTTGCTGGGCTTAGAGTTTCGAAAGCCCTAAACTCTAAATGCTATAAGCCCTGTAAGCCTATAATACTATAATACCCACAGTCCCCATAGTAGTTCCTTTTTGGGATTACCGTATAGGGCTTCTAAGTATGAACCCCAAACAGGTACTACTATATCGGGCCTATGGGTAAGCCCTTAAGGTAGGGTTTAGGGTTTCGAGAGGCCTTCCGAGTCTCTCAGCGCTGCCTTCAGTAACTAAAGAAGCAAAGGCCCGAATAAAGCGGGACGCTGGCACCGCAAATCTGAAACCTGGACTCCGAAATGCGAGAGAGGCGCCTCTATCGTTGGAACAGGCTTTTGGAGTAAGTTGCGCTACCAAACTGGCTGTACTAATTTTTTCAAGCTCCATTCTCCAAGCCCTGCAAAACCCTCATCTGAAATCGTACAAAACTCGAGAACACCATGCAAACCTCGCGGGCCTTGAGTTCGGGATGGCCCTCCAGCCGGCCGTAGTTCATGGCCTCTGCGTCTTGGGCTCTTAGGCTTCGGCTTCATGATTCGCCGTTTCGGACGGTTCGGATAATATGTGAGGGCCTTAATAATTAGAATCGAGGTTTGGGGGCGTGGTATACTATAGTTGTAAGAAGAAACCCCCAAAACCCTATTCTAGTTGTTAACGCCCCTCCATTAGGCTGATGCAGGATGTAGGGTTTCGGGTTCGGGGGATAGGTTGAGAGCTCAAGATCTGGCACTTGTTTAGGGTTGATGGAGTATGGGCTCTTAAGGCGTCAACCACCTGGACCTGGGGCCCGGGGGGTTCAAAGCGATGCGCTTTGAGGCTTAGAGTCGTTCAGTAGGATCGACTTCTGCAGGATGTCATGTGAGTCGCCGTCAGGAGCTGATAGCCTGCGGACCTACAAACAATCCTAATGCCTCCTCGACACACCCCGCCCCAAGTCCCCGGGAAGATCTCGCGGAACGTGGATCGAGCTACGAATGGCGACGAATGGCAACTGCCTGCAAACAAAAGCTACAGGACAAACCCACACACAGAAGGATTCAACTTTAGATGCTGCCAAAAAAATAAAAAAGACCATTTAATCAACGCTAAACACCCGAAACTCGAAAGCCCTAAACCCCAAATCCGCAAAACCCTAACACTCCAAAACCCTTATATAAACCTCAAGGCAGAACTACTGCAAACTAGGGGCCTTGATGTTTTGAATAGGGTTTTGGGAACCATCATGCCATATTTATAATAAGGACGCCCCCCCCCCCGCCCCCCCCGAAAAAAATAGTAGTGGTGCCTCATAAGGCCCCAATTTTACACCCTTATGGTACCCTTCTTGTATCCCTTAAAGGAGCCCTTGAAAGGAACCTTATATTCTAATCATAAAGGCCCTCTTTTTGAGGGTTTGACGGTTGAGAACCACACTATATGCCGTTAAAGGAACCCCCAAATAGTATACCTCAAAGCAGAGTGGAGGCCTGTCCCTGCTTCGAGCAAGCCGTCCACCCCATGTCAACGAGAAGAAGATTCCTTCAGGTTACTTGCCGCTGCTCTTAGAAACTCAACCAGGCTTCAAGTAGTGTAGGGGCCTTATTAATAATTAGAATGGGGGTTTTGGGGGTCTCCTTACTGTCATTAGTGAAATATGCCCCAAACCCTAATCTAATTATTTAGGCCCCTATAGTATGCCCTAAACCCGGGCTTTATCTGGGAGAAGGAAGCCGAAGCTTTGGCAAAGGAGGAGGGCTCTGCTTGCCAAACAGGTTGAAAGCCAAAGGGTTCTGAGAGGCGAAACGGGGTGAGGCTGGTGTGGGCTGATGGCTCTAGATGTTTACCGGGCAAATGTGAAGTCATGATCCAAAGCCAAGCACTTTAACCACGCAGTTGGCACTTCCACTCTTTGCCCAAATCGCGCGACCAACTTGTCCAAACTGATTCATGCTCACAGCACCCAGACACCACGTGGTGAGGGCTCCGTGCATCATTTTTCAAGGTTAGGAGGTTCCTGAAGGGCCCAACGGTTGATGATATAAATCCTGCATTCCCTTAGGACCCTAAACTATGGAAATTATGGGATATAGTCCTTCTTATGGGTAATGCAGGATTTATATCATCAACCGTATTTCAGGCCTCGGGTGTGTCTACCAACCTTTCGAATTCAGGACTCTCAAGTCCTGGACCCTACATCCCCAAGATAAATCCTGAATGCTGAATTCCTTCGGAAAACCTCACCCTCAAGTAAATTCTCAGCTTTGACGAAGCACAAGCCCTAAACCCCAAACCCCACTCAACATCTGCATCGATATAGCCAATGCAGACTGTGCTGAGGCGGTACCGCCAATGGTGATGGTTGACAATGAGAATAGGGATGATGAGGACGATGGAGGACTACGGCGATGACAAGAAAGAATCTTCCTACGATGACTGGGATGGCAGTCGCCATCATGTCACCACCCGATGGCGATTTCGATGGCGATGAAAACATTGCCACCGGCTCCTAGCAAGCCTTACGTGACTTATGGCCCTCGATGACTTGGCTGCAGGAAGGCTTCTTCTTCGGATAAGCACCAATCACACGCGTCAGCACCCTCACGGCAATGTCCTCCTCCTCAGCGGCACAGGTGCCAATTCTCACGCTACAGTTCAACTCGAAAGTGCTGGCAGGGTTGAAATGCACGAGACTACAACCTCAAGCTGCAATACCCCAAACATCGGGGAAGCAAGCCCAGTATACATAAGACTCAGCAGACTGTAGACGTGATATGCCGTGTATTGTTATGGCTCTTGCTGGTGCTAGCAACCTATTGCGACATTGGAGATGCCCTAAATCGCACACCCTTTCCCTCTACCTAAACCCCAAACCCTAAACCCCAAGGCCCTGAGCCTAAACCCTTTCCGAATGTTCTACAACCCATGCTATGGCTATGCTCGTCGTCTAACGTAGGAACCTGACTAATTGAGAAACCCTGTGACTTTATTTGGGCTCCATATATGAATCCTACTCTATTGGGGGTTATAGGGCCAGGGTTTGTTAATCAGGTCCATACCTAGAGGCTCCAAATATAGTACCATTATGGAATTAGGCCCCCAAAGCCATGATATGGATGGTCTTTTGAGACCTAATTCCATAATGGTACTATATATGGAGCCTCTGGGATACATTGAATCAAGAAAGACGACGACCCTGGAACCCTAAGTTTTGCCACGAACCCAACAAGCGCCGCAGCAGGGGGAACCCCGAAGTTCCTTCCACTTCAAAACGGAAAGCAGAAGGCCCGGTGAGTAGCTTTAAATCCGACATTACGAACCTCCGAAGACCCAAAACAAGACCCAAAACATACGCTTACCCCATCTAGACCCTAAACCGTATCAGCCAAATTATTAACGGGGTAACATAAAACCAAAAAACAAAAAAGCACAACTAATACCCTAAACCCTGAACCCTAGACCGCACAGTATACAGAATAATAGCTTTACTGTTGGTGTTGGGCCATTATTATACCCAGTTTTGGGGGTCTGGGTACTAGCTAAATAGGAGTTTCCGAAAATGGGGGACCCGAATATAATTCCCTAAATAGTAGGATCCTTGTTAAAAGGACCCCAAAATAAGGTACCTCAAATTTTCGGAAACTCTAAACCCTAAACCCTTGATAGAACCCTTATAGATCCCTTGCAAGGAACCCTTAAAGGAGCCTTTTAAAGGAACACTAGGACCCCCAAAATGAGGTACCCCCTAATTTTCGGAAGCTCCCCACATCAAACGCAGACTGTGGGTCCGAGGTTCAGTGCAGGAGCCCAGGCACTGCTGCATGGTGTCGTAGTAGATGTAGTTCCCAGGATGCATCCTCAGTCTTGGGCTCATAGGGCTTTGGGGTTAGGTATTTAGGGGTTTAGGAGTTTCGGGTTTAGGGTTTAAGGCTTTAGGAGTTTAGGAGTTTAGGGAGTTTAGGGTTTAGGGTTTAGGGTTTAGGGGTTTAGGGTTTAGAGTTTAAGGCTTTGGAGGTTTGGGCTTTGGAGGTTGCGAGGGTAGATGTAGTTCCCAGGGTGCATCCTCTACTTACCTTTGGTTAGCAGGGAATGGAAGAATGGTAGTAATAATAATACCCCATTCCTCCATTCCCTACCTAGGATACCCAGTAACCCAAGAATAAAAAGGCCTCTCTTTTTGGTATTGGGTAACTTTATAAGGAACCTAGGACTACAAAAAGGGAATAAGGGTACTACTGGGCATCCTAGCTACTAACCAAAGGTAAGTCTACAGCTCAGGAGGACTTCGGCTCAGGGTTGTGAACTTCGGGTTTAGGGGTTCAGGGTTTATCCGCTTGAGCTACTTACTACCCCAAGAAGCCACAGAAATAACACAAGTTTAAACTTGCCGATTCTTTTTTAACCATAAGAACCCAAAATAGTTTAGAGGTTAGGTAGTGGGACTTTAGGGCTAAGGAGGGCGTAGGGTTGTGAATTGAGGGTTTGTTGTGAATTTAAGGGTTTAGGGTTGAGGCTGTCGAAGTTAGCTGGGTGGACGTTTTGGGGCCCTTACAACTGGTTATGAAAAAGGTACCTCTATGGGAACCGTAGGGCTCATGATCAAGTTTCGAAAAGTGCCACCTGGTGTAGGGTTTAGGGTGTAGAATTTAGGATTGGGCTGCGGGGTTTCGGGTTTCGGATACTTTTTGGCAGGCTGGATCAGGATCCTTAGAGGATCCCGTGTTTGGGGTCGACGAGATTTGGGGGGTTATGGTACACTGCACCGTCTGAATCTGTAGGGCCTTGTGGATTCAGGCTTTTGGGGGAGTATGGGTCCCCTTCTTTCCCCACAAGCCGACACTGTAAGATTTTTTGGGGGCTTGGGGGTTCTTGAGGCCTTGGGGGTTTAGGGGGCGCGAAGCTGCAAGGAGTGGGGACTGAACCAGCCTCATTTCGGAAAGCTCTGGACTGTGAACACGTGGGCCCTGGAGTGCATCGTAAAGTCCAATGAGCACCAGAGTAACATGTAGCGGTTTGTGTATTGGGAGTCGCTATTATGAGTTGGGAAAGTACTTATCCCCCACATATTTACCCATAGGCTCCATAGTGATTCCTTTTTGTTGTTTGTATTTTGGATCCTATAACGTAGTCCCAAAAGGAAGTACTCTGGAGCCTATGGGTAGTACTTAGGTCTTAGTTTAGGATCCTATGGGAATGTTCCTACCCCTGAACGTGTGGAGTCCTGAAGAGCGCGACAAAGCACGGCAAGACTACACACCCTCAGCTGGCTACCAAAGGAGCCCGAGGCCCATGAAACCTCTACTAGAAGGAGTCCCAGAATAGTATAGGTCGCAGATGTGTATGTCCCTGCCCCTGCTGCAAGGATGACACGCTTGACTCCGCAGGTGCATGGCCCCTGCAGCAAGGAAGACAGTCAGGCACGTACAGAAGACGTTTTTTAAATCGAGAAGTGTACCAAGTTAGATCTTATTCGCTTTCGCTTCTGCTGCTAAAACAGTTGGCTGGCCCTCGTACTCGAGGGTTATGAGCCCAAGCCTTCGTGTGCCCTGTTGCCATGGACACTCTTGCTTCTAGAAGGAGAAAGTCGAGCTCTGTGCCTCCTGGTGGGCTTAGTGGCGGTGCTACGGCAGCTGACACACCTGTCCCACTTGAATCAGGAGATGAGCTTGAGCCTTCGTACGAGGACCAAGATGCAGCGGGAGCAGCCAACAGTCAGACTGGGATTGATGGTGAGGCCCCAGCCTCTTCGAAGCCTCTACCAAATCCTTTTTGGTCTGAAAAGGCTACAGCAGAATTTCAGTTGAACCAGTCCCGACCGCGCGACTTACCTAGCACTACTGAGAGAGATGATGATGTGGACGTGCATCCACCGTATGACTTCTCTGAGCCAGCCATGGCATCTTCTGGGCAAAATGCTGGGAAACTTGATGATAGAAGTGAGTCAAGACTCTTGCACCGGGGTCTCGGAGCGAGCTCTCCGGGATCCAGTGGCAAGGCGTCGATCCTGGAGCGTGGTGAGACGACTACGAAAGTGGAAGTCAGGAGCTATGCCCTTCAGGTGACGGAATCCCCGACGGGACCAACACAGCCGGACCATCAAGGAGCTCAGTACTTCATGATTGGTTCGGATGGGGGTGACACTCCGTTTCGCGAGCAGGAGTCTACAAAGGTTAGGAGTTTGGATGGGGAGATGTTCTCGCAAAGAGCTTCTACTGCAGGCAGAGCTTCTGACGTCAGGGACCCTAGCCAGGCTACCGTTGCAGCGCTCCTGCAACGGGTCAAGGACCTTGAAGATGCGCTAGTGGCGGAAAGAAACTCAGGAGCTTCGGTGTCAATGAAGTCCGCTGCTGGTCAGAATACGGGAACCTCAGTGTCGATGAAGTCGGCGGTAGGTGGTGCTGGTAGAGCTGTAGGAGTAGATGCTGAAAATGTGGATGGAAACCCGTCCGTTGTACAGACAAGTTTCTGCGATCCCCCAGGGTTAACAAGTGTGAGTAATGAACACAATGATAATAGTGTGGGTGGTCTTGGAAAATGGGTGTATGTTGATGGTGGTTACCGGCAGCTTGCCCTCAATGCACAGGGAGTTTGGACTTTACTTCCTAGCGTGCTAAATCAACCACCTCCTCCTCCTGTTCAGCCCCAAGCACCTCAATCTTCGGCAAGTCTCCCAGGGCCTTCCTGGATTCGGGGGCCAGCGCTTCCTGTTGAAGGGCACGGTTGGACTTGCCCCGCACAGCAGCTTCACCAAGTGCAGCAGAGTGTGCCGGAGCCGGTACAAGGAGGATCAGGCTTCTTTACGCCGCCGCAGATTCCTGAAGACCTTAGTGGGTTGCCTAAGGGTTTAGTTGAGTTTGTAGGCTTAGGTGGCCCTCCGCAGTACCGACCAGCTTCGATGTCACATCATGTTGAGCAAGCGGCTCCAGCAATGCAATGCACTCAGGGTTATAGTGGGTTAGTTGGTCCTCCACTCCACCACGTAGCTCCGATCCCTACGCCCCATCCTGTTGAGCAGTCGTTTCCAGGAATGCAATGCACTCAGGGTTTTGGCATTGGTTCGGGTGGTTCATTTCTGCCCCAGGTACCTTCGATGCCTTATCCGCAGTATCCTGTTGAGCAGTCGGTTCCAGGATTGTATAGCACTCAGGGCTATGATAGGGATTCGAATTATCTGGTGTCACATCAGACAGCCTTCCCGCGTCATCATGATGAGCAGTCGGTTGTGCCTAATACCTCCTCAAGCCCGGTACCACCCCCGCCTCCTAGTGGTTTAGGACCTGACTTTGGGGTGAGACAAGAGATAGGGTTTAGGGTAGATCGCACGCCAGGTGGTACTCCGGTGCCTCCGTTGCCTCCACCTTTAACCCCAACTCCAACGTCTGAAATCCGCCGTCAGGAGCTTCGGTACTCGCCTCAATGGCAGCGCTGGCATGATCTTCCACAGCTCTCGGAGCTGAGAACTGATGAGGCACCGATTGCAGTGGGCGATTGGATAACATTAGTGGGTCCTATAGTTGGGGACATTAGTACTGGAGCGGGTCTTTGGTGGGTCAAGGTTAAGGATAGGGCTGAAGCTTTCTATGCACAGTGGCTTAATGCTACCCCGCTACACCGAGCACAAATTGAAGTAACCTTAGGATCTGAGCTTTCCCAGCCGCAGTATGCCCGGCTTGAGCAACGAGTAACATCGATGCTGTTGGCCTCGCTTCCACAGAACTTGAGACAGGACATCCTAGCTTCTAGGGTTCTCAATTCGGTGAATGTTTTGTATAGGGTGATGGTTGCAGGGCAGCCAGGAGGAACTGCTGAGCGCGCGACACTGTTGAACTTCTTGACTCAGCCAGGGACTGCACAGAACCCGGCGGAAGCATTGGAGAAATTGAGGAAGTACTCAAGATGGAGATCGCGTGCGGAGCAGCTCAAGGTTTCCCTCCCCGATCCTTCACTCCTGCTCAGGGCTGTTGAGAGCATCGTGTCTGGAATCGTGAGTTCGAGCACTTATAGGGAGTTGGCTTTCAGGCTTAGTGTGCTGAAGCTTGAGCTCTCTTTAGATCACGTGCCAACACATGAGAAGGTTGAAAAGTTCAGGAGGCAGGTTCATGCCGAGATGGAGCTGCTCGCGGTGAGCGCTCAGGCGCTCTCTCAGGAAGAGAAGAGACAGCGGGTAAGGAGAGCCAAGGCCACTGAGGAGGAAGGAAAGGAGGAGAAGCCAGAACACAGGAAAGGAAAGGGCGCGAACAATACAGGAGGCAAGGATGCAGGTAAAGGTAAAGGACTTAAAGGCAAGCCTTCTGATGCCCAGCCTGAAAGCAATCGCCGAGTCTGTCAGTTTTGGGGTTCCGCAAAGGGGTGTAACGCCGGACGGTCATGCCAATACAATCACGATCTTAGTGTTGTTGAGGATGGTAGTGGTAGGTGCTTTGAGTGTTCATCCACTGAGCACTGGAGGAATGCGTGCCCAGTGCTAGGGAGAGGCCCACCCACTGCCGCTGGCAGCGCTGACCATAAGGCGGGTGTAGAGGCCTCAGCTAAGGCTGAACCTAAGCGGGGTCCCCGGAAGAGAGTTCGCAAGGTTGGTGGAGTTGAGGTTCCTGAGGGTTCGGAAGCTCAGGCCTCGCAGTCTGAGGGCGCACCAGCTGCAGCGACAGGGCCCTCAAATGATTTGGTGAAGGAAGCCATTGATGCCATTAAGTCTTTGAGGATATCCAAGCTGTGTGCTGTTAAAGCCGAAGAATCTAGAGACGCCGTTTTGGGTTTGTTGGACGGTGGTGCCACAACCTCACTTCGACAAGCCATTAGTCTGCAAGAATGGGAAGCTGCCGCCCCAGTGGTAGTGCATTTAGCTTCAGGGGAAACA